AGTCGACGGCCGTGTACAATAGCAGATATGATGAACCGGCCGAGTTCCGCGACTCGTATTACCGGCCCAACGAACTAACGTCCAAGTTCGCGTCGTGGGCCGAACCATTCTACAAGAGCTTTTCGTCGTCGTCGTGGGACAAGGACCGGGCTTTGTTCAACAACAACAACATAGGTTCACCATCGTTCTCTTTGGACAGGGAACCGCTAACCAGGGGAAGTGGGCCGTGGGACAGGGAGCCGCTCAACAGAGGCGGCGGCTCGTGGGACAGAGAGCCTATCGGCGGGGACGGTGGCAGCTCGAGGGACAACAGGGGATCGTCGTGGGACAACAGGGGCTCATCGTGGGACAAGGATCTAGTCGAAGTACCGTTGCAAAAGCCCTACAGAGGTGGTAGGGGTAGTGGTGGTGGCGGAAATAACAACTTATACAACAACGACAAGTATCCGGAAGTGGCGGTAAGGGGCGATCGGCAGCAGAACGGCTCACCGCCACTCGCGCCGCCACCAAGGTTCACGATCATCGATGTCGATCCGAAACCTTACCACGATCAGCAGCCGCCGACGATGCGGTACGACGAGCGCAGCAAGCCGATGGCACAGCAGAAGCACATGCGGTACGAACCGCCACAAAAGCCGATGCGGTACGAAGCGTATATGCCGTTGAACACACGCATCGAACAGCAACAGCCAATGCCGCCGTCCATGCGGTTTGAACAGCAGTATCGGTCTCCACAACAGCAACAGTCATCGTCTACTCGGTACGGGCAACAACAACAAACACAGAACAAACCTCCGTCGAATGGGTATGTATTTATTATAATTAATAGCTAGAGCCTAGAGTAACAACTTTCATGCATATTTTGAAATTTTTTGAGGTTTAAGGTCATATTTTTGATTTTAAGAGCATATTTTTATACTTTGAGTGGATCATTGAATGTACTGATTTTATTATATATTTTATTTTGTTTTGTGTACATGATTTATGAAAAAAAAAAAAAAAAAAAAGGTTTTTATTTTTATTTTTAAAATATTTTTTGGCAGGAAAGTGAATCTATGGTTGGTACATTTCAGAGGTCAAAATTAAAAATCCCAAGTAATCTTTTTAGCTATTGGGATATACTAAAAAAAAAAAAAAAAATTTACAAAAACGAGAATCTTTATTCAATATCAGTTTTTCATATTTAGGTATTTAGTCCTTGCCATTTTCTCCAAATATTTATATTAGCATTCTTTATACATGATATAATTTTAATATGACGATTGAACAGTAAACATAGACAATATTAAAACTCATATAAATCCTTTCCTTTTAACGTATTATGCATATTACCATTAATTGTAATGTAATAATGTAATATACCGAATCTCTTGAGTATTCCTTGAACTGTTATTTGTAACAGTATTTGGATACAAAGAAACGAGCTCAATAGCTCATGTGATAACTACCTCATATAGGTGGTAGGTTAGTAAATAGTAGGTACTATAAGGTACTTATGATTTATAATAACGATTAATAAATACAATTTATAAAAAACAATTAATTACAATTATTTATAAGGGGGTTAATGAAATTATTAAACAATAGGTATTTTATTTATTTATTAAATATTATTTCCTTTTGCTCTAAATCTAAAAAGTTTATGAGGATCTATCACCCATATTTCCCATGGTTAGGCCCCTTACGGGGGTGCAAAGTTTTTTTTTAAATTGGGGCGAAAAATGTCTAAACGCGGCACTGCAGAGATTGTGGTTAGTAGGTAACCGTGGTGGATAGTTTTTAAGGAATTCGTATTAGGTAACTTTCAAATTGCATGCATGCGGGTCTTGTAAATGTGTGCGTAGTAAGTGATAATTAGTGTTAAGCCCCCCCCCCAAAAAAAAGTAACAAAATAAAAAGAAGTATTCCTCCAGTCCCACCTAACTTGAAATTTCCTAGAGTTAGGGACTTGACACAAACGTGTGACCAAGTAGAACATAATATAGCACTAGTACATTAGTTACGGCACAATAGAATGAAAAAACGGGTCATTCATATAAACTAAATTTAAATCTCTTAATAATGATTCAAACCAGCGAGTTTTAAGTAAATCCTTACATTCTATTGTCGCGTCAGGGAGGTTAGTTCCATGCGATGAATTCTGCTCCTTGCACTATACGTATCCAGTACTCCATTGCTTGGCGCCTTTCACTCACAGCACAGCTTCCAACAGTCTGGTTGGCTTTGGGTCTACAGTTCCTGCAAAATCGAATAATATAAAACACAATTCTCAATAACCGTTTAGATTAAAATGACGATTCAGCAGTTGTATACTTAGTGAAGTGCTTGACGTAGTCGTTATTGGCATACTGCTTTGCACTGTTCTTTCTTCAATTGTGTCTGATACTGTTTTCAATATGATGTCCGGCCATTTAATTTCCAAATACAGTAGAACCTCTATTATCCGTGACTCGATTATCCGTGTTCGCGATTAACCGTGCTCACTCTTCCGAAAATTTAAAAATAAGTATGGACTGTAGAATGTAGATATTAGAGGTCTCAATGGAACAAGTGTTTTTTTGCACCCGTGTATCCGTGATACGGATATATATTTTGAATAAACATGTATTTCACTTGACACGTGAATTCGAAATTTGTACAAGGACTATAGTCTATAATAGTGATTAAGCAATCACCGAAATTGTCGTCCACGATCGCAGTTACCTGCAACGCCATCCGTGCCTGATTGCCGTGATTTCCATCGCCACAAATATAGTTTTAAATCTCTCCAAAGTCCTAGGTTTGTCACGATTCGTGGCCCATACGCGTTGCTACATCAATCACAAATTGAACTAAATTCAACCCACTTCATAGACACGGACGATTTGCCTTAATTTTATTATTTTTTTTAATTAATTATTTTAATTTTGTTTTTTCGATATATCGATATTTTGCCATTTTTTGCCATCCCTAGTGGTAATACTGCTTTCGTTTACTTTATAATCACGATAATAACAGCAGCAGTTAATAATAAAAATAAAAATATCATAATATTTAATCAAACAATTTCGAAAAGGACTCATATCACCGAGATATCACAATTATATTCTTAAAAATTATAACGCGGTCCAAAAGACCGCGGTGCGACGAACGACGTAATATACACTAGCTTGATTAACGAATAAAATTGTACCTATGTATTTCTAATTATAATTAAATAAAAAATGTCATTATTATAAAAAGTCTCGATTAACCGTGGTTTTCATTTATCCGTGGACCCCCTCCCCACCATTACCCCGGATAATCGAGGTTCCACTGTATATCTAAATACATAATACTTACCAACAAAATTAACCACTTAATATTTTTTTCGAATACTAATTTTAAAGTTATTTCAGTACAAAGGTTCAATATTAAATTGGCATTTGCACTAACTTCTGATAATTATACATTATAATTAGGGCCTGGATTTAAATGCCCTAAATACTACCTAAAAAAATGGCCAAAAAAATGCATTTCAACCGCAATAATCTCCTGAAAAAATTACTTCACAATTGTTGTAACACTCACATAAGATAATACGAATAATATTACAATTTTAAACTAAATAATAGTTGTAAATATCACTGTTAATTATTCAACACATAATTTTTCAGACTGATGTTTCCTTTACAAACAAAATTTAATTTTTTGTTCATTTTTCTGCCACCAAGGTAAATTTCCTATTCCCCCCCCCCCAACTTACAACCAGCCCTGTATGCATATAATGACGTTATTATAATCTGTATATAGAATAGCTAATCAGCAATAAGCTGTTTTATTTGTTGTGCAGTGGTTTTCAATAATTTCTTTTTGGATTTTTTCAGTATCTGCCATTGAATAATAAATACACGTAGGTACGACTCGAGACTTTTCGCAAAAATTTACAAAACATAATAGTATATAAGATACTAAGGTAGGTACTCACAAATTTGTACAAACAGCTGGTTTCATCTGTTACTTCACCAGATATGTTGCTGAGTCGTTGGTTTGAAATGAGAATCTTAAATATCTTTTCGGCGGACCTAAGACGAAGCGGACTATAATTAGTATAACAGCCAAGGGCAGGCGACTATGGCCACCACCGCGGCGGGAACTGTTATTCTCGACATACAAGCGCATCAACGCGTGTCAGAGTATTCTATTGACTCGCATATGACGACTTTTCAGACGGACTATACACACCGAATTATCACCAGACATATCGCACCGGGGCGGTATAATCGTGCTACCAAGGTATATACGTACTACAACGGTGCACCATGTAGCGTAGTATTGCCCTGGTGTACCTCTGTTTAACGCGGTGTACCTATTGGGGCGCGCCGTGGGACGCCCTAGTGTGAGGAATAAGAGTTCTAGCAGCCGGCCAAAAATATAAAATATTTTAAAACAATAATATTTAGTGTGTACAATTTATTATTTTTAGAATACATTTTTTAAGTTAATACAAAACAAATCTTAAAAAAACTATTCAATATTATATTTAAGTAATACATTTTAAAATTAAGTCTAATCATCACAACTACTTTCAGCTTCCTCTTCGTTAAACTTTTTATCTTTGGAGTTTTAAATAATCAATAAATGTATTGCTTCTGGAGATAATTCAGTTGATGATACTTTACTCTGAGGTCTTAATCATGTTATAAATTTGGTCAGATGTTATCAAAAGAAAGTTAAATAAATCTGTATTTGTGTTAAAGCGTGACGATTTTCTTGAATGATGTTCTCGCATTCGTATATAGTCTTTGTTCCGTGACTCTTGAGCTTCCTCAGATAACTGTCCAATAGGGCATATATTTTGATTGCTAAAGAGCCATGTATCAAAATTTTGTGTACGCTTGGAAGCATACGGTACCAATTATATAACTTTACATAAAGTTAAGCTGTTTCTCTAGCATACTCATCAAATCTTTCGTAATTTATTTCATGACCAATTAGAAATCACTGATTTTATTATTGAAAATTTATGGATTAAACGAACATCAAATCCTGGAATTCTTAAAAAATCTTCGAGCAACATTCCCCGTATTTGATGTACCCATACCCTGAACCCCTCTGTCAACTTTTAAACCTACTTCTTGATTCTTATTATTTATATTTAATTTGAAGGGTTTTAGTTCTGAAATTTCTTTTTCCACTTTTTCTACTTCATTGTATGTTATTTCTACCATCTCTGTATTATACATAAATTGGATTGGTCTACAATAGCGTGTAGACGAAGGTGTTGGATTTGCTCTGTTTCTATTGACCCGACAGTTGGTGGCAATAGAAATATTTATGACTTTTAAATACATTTTTCTATTATAGCAACAGGGTGTTGAATAGAAACAATTATTGATATTTTTAAAAAATTGAACTCAACTTTTACTATTAAACTTTTTTTTTTATTATTAAAATACAACAAAATTTATCAACTGTATCAATAAATAAAAAGAAAATAAAATAAAAATAACACCTTGTCATAACATTTTAGTCTTTTACTTTCCAGTCTTTAGATTAACTTATTTTATAATATTATGTTACAGACATAAACTATAACTCTTATAATTAACATTGGTAAATCGTAAATGTAACAAAATGTATACATATAGATATATCATATGAATAAATAAAAAATAAAAATAAAATTAACATTTTAGTCTATTAATTTCTAGTCTTTGGATTTACTTTTTGTATATTATATGGTAACAAACATCATAATTAATTAGTTAATAAGTTCAACTATTAATTTTTATAAGTAAATGGTTAGAAGACTAGATGGAGTTACAGTTATATGTGAACTTGAAAAGCCCTCTGGAATATGGTACTGATTTTTGCATTTTTCCAATAATTTGGTATCTATCAAATTCACAAATATCTTCAACAAACCCATACACAAAGCCTTTCTCTATAAGTCATTTGACGTGTCTTTAAGCACCAAATGGCTGATTGTAAATAATTTGGATTAGGAATCTGGTATGTTTTGCTTCTTGGACCTCATTTTCTAATACAGCCCATGGTTGTGTCTATATTCACCCGCAAGAAGAGACATTTTACAAAATGTATAGTAAAAAAAAAAAATAATGAATTTAAAATTATTATACTTAAGTTTCGACTAATGACAACAATTATGAACAATTAAAATGTGTGAGTAAACGATTAAAAAATTATTACATTATAAACGGTGAGCTTGTTAATTCTTATACTCAATTATTTACAATGAAAGTATAATTTCTTTAATTGTATGATATATATTCTTATTTTTTATTTTAATTAATTATATAAATACGAATTAATACACTTACTTGGTACTATATGTTGATCCATTTTTGATTTAGATAACTACACAACTACTTGTGTTCATTTAAAATATCGAAAAACTGAAAAGTATAATATACTACCATGTGGTAGAATGAAATTCATAAGTCTTTATGAACCATACCTACATATATCGGCTCATTATAGTTAATGATTATCGCATATTGCAGTATATTTGTTATCTTAAGATAAATGGCAACAAATATTGAAGTTTATAGTCGCTGATTACGTTGATTACGCTGATTACGCTGATTACGCTGATAACTGATTACTAAAATTTACTAATTTTGACCTGCTAAAAGTTTGATTACTCCCACTGTGGGGCGTCCGCAATGTCAACGTGGTAGTGCACCACGTAACGCATAACCAGGTTCGCCATAGTCATGTACCCCGGTATATACAAATGGTGTACACGGTTACCTCGCACTTAGTAGATAGCGATCAGATACCGGTCGGTAACCGATTTTACGCCAGCGGCAACGGTACTGATCGACTCACACATTGTGGTGGCAAAACCATGCTACCGAGGTATACACCAAGCCTGTGCACCGCTAAGTGTATCCCGGTTACCACTGTTTGACACGGTGTACCTATTGGCGCCCGCATGGTTTACCTGGTGGTGCACCACGCAATGTATGACCTGGTTCGCCGTATAGTTCCCCCGGTTTACAATGGTGTACACGATTGCACCCAGTGGACAGCGGTCGGATACCACTCGGTGGAAAGCCCGTCAGATCCGTCGTCGACGGGTCATAGACTCTGAACTACGGAGGTTGATGGTCTGAAGCGGTCAGAATCCCAGTTGGTGACCGCGATGGTTGCCAAAGTGCCAAACTAATGTCTGGTTATAATTATATTCAGCTTCGTCTTACCTGTTACATAGAGCGATCTCCGCACAGTAGGTACCTATATAGTTCAATATCCAACTAGATTCGACTGGAGGATATAGAAGACGACTCAGCTTTGGACATCTGCTCGCCTCCGATATCTTTGAATATCTGTTTGATAGGAGATATGTACGTCGCACCTACCTAATATTCCATAAAATTAAAAACAAAATGTAAGAAAAATGTTTTCAAATTTACATTAGTCGTAGTGATGAGGCCGTCAAAATATTAGCCATTTTAATAATTTAGAGTCGTTCAAAAATTATGTAAAATGTTTTGATCTGTCTATTATATAATTTATTTGTTAACTTTAAAAATAGTATTAAATACTATGTATTTAAATATAATATATTTTTGTTCTTCTTAATTTTATCTTTTACTCTATTTATAATATTGCATAACTATACTTTGCTACTTCTTAATATCGACAATTACTAATATATTATTTTATCTATTAATTTTTAGTTAATATAATATAAGAACCGCTCCCCCAGCACAAGCTATGCTTTTTAGGGGGTGTTGCAACTAATTAATTTACGTATTTATAAAATGTGTCTCATGTTGTTTTGCAAAATAAAGTATTATTATATTATTATATAACTATAAGTAATTTATTGCCTTTTTGGCTTTGGATAAATTTTAGCATTATTTTATTTTTAAACTATAAAACAGTTAATTAAATAATATAATTTAAGACTATTAGCTAATAGTTCACGACACGAATTGTAGTTAATGATATAAAACGTCAAACGACACACTATACGCTATTAACAAAATAACGAATAAGTTATTTATTACACACATAATATACGACATTAATATTAGCATATTAATTAGGTTTATATTTGTTTACATTTTAGTGTGATAAAAACAATATAGCTGTAGAGAAGTTATTAGTAAGTTTCTTAATAATTAAATTAAATTAAAATAAATTAAAATAATTCAACTTAAAAAAAAAAAAGAATAAAGATGTGTTAATTATTTATTATAAGCCTTTTCTATTTAGCATGTTATTATATTTTTTTTAAATTTTAGTGTGATAGGAATTCTACTGCTATAGTTCAAAACGAGCATGATATAATAAGAGATATTGATTCAAGTTTAGCATTTACTGTGACTAAAAATCAAGCAGGCACAGCCACAGAAAAATCATTGGTACCTACCTAATGTTTTTAACATTATTGACAATTAAATTATTTATTATAAGCATTTTCTATTTAGCATATAATTATATTATTTTAAATTTTAGTGTGATTGGAATTCTACTGCTATAGTAACAAAACGAGCATGATTTAATTAGAGATATTGATATTGATTTCTAGCCTAATAATGACTATTTGTTGATTAGTATGTTACAGTATTTGCCTTCTAATATAAATAAAATTTTTAGTTACAAGACATTAGCAATATATTTTATTATAATATAGAAGTGATTAAAGATTTAAAGAAAATATGTATACTTTTTTAGGAGGGAGGGGGGTTATGCTACTTTATATTTAACTTATATTTGGGCCGGTAACCCCGTATTCCCACTGGGCCGGACACCTCCCAGTACGCCTCTGGTTAATTAAATAATAAAATTTAAGACTATTAGCTAATAGTTCACGACACGAATTGTAGTTAATGATATAAAACGTCAAACGACACACTATACGCTATTAACAAAATAACGAATAACAGACACTGAATTTAGATAGGTAATTGTTGTGCGATTATTAGGTACTAATCTAATCTTAATCGCAACTTTTATAATGAAGTTTAAATTTTGAATTAATTATTACTCGAGATATTTTGTCATGGAATATTTTTGTCTTGTGATATTTTGTCGGAGATATTTTTACCGGGATATTTTGTCGTGGAAACAAAAATACATACCTGAGTTATATTTTTTTTATTCCCCTTGAGATTCTATATATCGAAACTCGATAGAATTATATTTTTTTTTCTATTGTTCTGTATTACATATCTCATCGCATCATGACCTGCTATAGGAAACTATAGTGTATTATATTTTTAAAATTATTATTAAACATCAATTCAGTGGGTACCTAGGTAGGTATGAGTAGAATTATTAATGTAATTCCCAGTGTTTATAATTCAGAATTTTGTCTTATAAAAGTGAATATGAGTAAATACGACGACTTATTACTATGAGTTGCGAAAATCGTGATGAGAATAATATTAGGCATTAGTGTGAGAATAAATACCCACTCGTTATATTAAATGGTATCATAATAATAATAACATATTATGTTATTATTATTTCACTATATCATTTATTTCATTACTGTGTTTGACCGAGAACAGAACGGATTTGGTCACGAGTAAAAGTCGGTACCTATCATAATATTTGTTAAACCAATTTAAATGTGCTTAATGTATTAATATATAGTTTATCCGTTATTTGTAGAGATAATATTTAACATAAAACAATAACGATATAGGTACATAATAAATCATATTTAATTAATATTTATAGTGTACCCACTCTGTAGGCATAGGTACTTGAGTAGTATTCGATTTTATTTGTTACACTTGTATATGTAAAATATTGTAATATAATCTATATCGTGTCGACTGTCGGCTATGCAGGAGTTAAGAAGAGTCAACTGTGTAAGTGTGTGGTATGAAAAAATATTATGCACTTTTGTTTTTAATTTGATTATGTTTCTAGTTTTGAACAAAATAAAAAATGTCTAGTAACTATGTATAAATTGTTTAATACACTTTGTTTTTTAGACGGTATTATTTATGTACTATGCATGTCTATATTGTGTATTTATTTATTTATTTAGGCGTACATTTGTATTTTGTAAAATTATATTTTCTATTGCTATTATTCTATCTGAAAAGTATTTAAAATATTTTTTCTACTAATTATTACTTAGTCATCTCACAGTTTTAAACTACATATACCATACCACTTGCACTAAGGCACTAACAAATTTTTTTTAACGACAATACTAAAAAAAAAATAATAATCTTTTATAGGTACGAATAATTGGGTTACATACATAAGACGACAACATTGGAATATTTGATTCCATTTAAAATCATAAGGAATACACATGGCAAGTTTTTTGAAACTCTCGCACTTGTCAATTTTTGTT